CTCCCTCCCCGGGGTGGGCGGGGGAGCTTGTGGGTCGGGGCGGGGACAAGGGCGATCCCTGTCCAACTCTGTGTGTCCCTGCAGCTTCGTAAGTCCAGCAGGGAAGGGGACCTCCCGGCCCCTAAGCAGGTGCGTGCTCGTTCGTCCTGCAGGGGAGGGCACCTCCTGGCCCCTAAGCGGGTGCAGAGAACGGAGGGTCGGGGTGGGACGTGGGATGCGACCACCATCCTCTGGCTGGTGAGTTGAGCCGTCCCTCCTTGGACGGGCGCAGCAGCGGGAAGACCCCAGGCCACCAAACAAGGGACAGGAGGCATGGGGGAGCACAGGGACTCAAGACCAGGGTCTCAGGTGGGAAAAAATCCAGAGAGCTGGAAGGGAACCCCTATCTCTTCAGCCGGCCATCCTCGTCTGTCTCCCGAGAGGAGGTGTCAAAGGCTGGGGAGGGTGACGCTGGCGTTCCGGCAGCGCACCAGGGCCACCAGGGAAAGGCGAGAGCTGGGGGAGGCGCGTGCACAGGGCAGCCTTCTGGCCAGCTGACCCTTCTACCCCTGGCAGGGGCCATGTGGAAGGCCAGGGCAATGGGAGGCCCCCGCCCCCCGGGGCTGCTGAGTGCTCTGTCTCTCCAGTCGGAAGGCGGGTGGCCGCCGCCAGAGCGATGGTGCGAGCAGCTCTTCTCCAGCGTGGTACCCGTGCTGCTGGGGGACCCGGAGGAGGAGCCGGGCGGGCGGCAGCTCCTGGACCTCGACTGCTTTTTGTCCGACATCTCCGACACGCTCTTCACCATGACTCAGCCTGGGCCCTCACCCCCGCGGCTGTCTGCCGAGGATGGTGAGGGCCTGTATCCCGGAAGGGACAGGGGAGAGGGGTGAGAGCCTGTGGGGATCCAGGCAGCCTGGGGATGGGCAGCGGGGACCCCGCTCCACTCTGCCTGCTGGCCCTGATGTCACCACTGCCCCTCCAGCCTACATCGGCAATGCTGACATGATCCAGCCAGACCTGACGCCGCTACAGCCCAGCCTAGATGACTTCATGGAGATCTCAGGTGGGGCGGGCCCTCCCCGGGTGAGGTGGACACGCAGGGTCAGTGTGAGAGAAAGTTTCAGGGTGATTATGAGACCTCAGGCCTGTCCCAGGCCCCTCTGGGAGGGCGGATGGTCTGGGGGTTTCTGAGGGATCTTCATGCTCTCCCTTTGTCTACCCTTGGGATGCAGCTGGTGTGGTCTCAGATGAGGGCAGGGCCAGACAGGGTACCTGTCCAGGGGACCGGGAGCTTTGAAGTCACAAGCGCCAGGGTCTCCCAGAAAAGCAGTGGATGCTGGGACTCTGTCAGGGGAAAGAAGGACTTTGGTTTATTTGGGTCTATTTGTTTACAAGTGCATTTTAAAACTATTTATTAAAGAACATTTCAGGCTGGGCGCAGTGCAGTGGCTCATGCCTGTAATCCCAGTACCTTGGGAAGCTGAGGAAGGAGGATCCTCTGAGTCTGGGAGACCAGCCCGGGCAACATAGTGAGATCTTGACTCTACAAAAAATGAAAAAATTAGCTGGGCGCAGTGGCGTGCGCCTTTAGTCCCAGCTACTCGGGAGGCAGAGGCAGGAGGATTGCCTGAGCCCAGGAGGCCGAAGCTGTAGCCAGGCTGGGCATCAGAGTGAGACGCCAACTCAAACAAAAATTTAAAAAGTTTCAAGTATGCTCTCTGGTAGAGAATAGCTCAGTAAAGCCCTGTGTAATAATCTTGATGTCCCTCAATTGCCAACTCTCGGCTAGTCCTGTTTCATCTAGACCGCACGCTTTCTTCTCTCCAATGCAATTTTTAAGAAAATCCCAGGCATCAGATCTTGAAAAGCACTTTTTAAGTGGTAAGTTTCTGCCTCCCCTTCCTGACCCCAGGGTCACCAAGTTACTGATTTCTTGCTGTCCTGCCAGAAATTCTCATGTCCGTGGAAGCACGTGTGGACAGATACCTGTTTTCACAGCACTGTTCTCACACTACCTTCTTCTCTTAGCTGTGGATTTGCAGGCCATTCCCGATAGTCAGACATCCAGGGGCCACTGGAGCCATGTAGGGGCCAGGTAGACACCTGGGCTCAGCCTGTCTCACTCAAGGCCCAGAGAACAGTCTCCTTGGGATAAGGGCTTAGTTTCCGTGACCCCCTAAGTCCTTCCCCACAGGGTCCTGGGCCTGTCAGTCCAGAGGTGGAGGCCTATGGGGCGGGGACTAGGGAATGAGGAACCACCCCCACTGCTGCCCCCGCCCTGGGCAGGGGTGGGGGCTGCTGGGGACAGACGTGTGGATGGCAGTGCCCTGGGAGCAGACCAGCCTGGGAGGGCGGCGGCCCTGTCTGGGCACACAGACCCCAGCCACAGGTAGGTGCCCAATCGCCTCCACTGGGCTCTGGGCGAGACCAGCACAGACTGGGACTAGGAAGCGACTTCTCGAAATCCAGGGTGGCTGCTGGCATGGGGGGGCAAGCACGGGTCACGCAAAGGAGTAGGCTCCTGTGTCCCTCTCAGACGCTTTCCGTGCCCTAGGAGGGCAGCTAGTGCCCGTGCCCCCAGGGCTGCTGCTCTCATTGTCCTCAAGATCCCCTCACCGAGGAGGTCAGGCTGGAAACCCAGTGAGGGGCCCGGGACTCTCTGGAGGCCCCATTTTGAGGGGAGGTATCAGGAGGGAGGCCAGAGACAGAGAGGCTCGGACAGGGGATAGCAGGTCAGGCCCGTGGAAGACACAGAGCGTGAGGAGGGACTCCGGGCTCGGTGGGTAGCTGGGGCTGAGAAGCAGCTTCTCTCGAAACAATCTGTGGTGAGGAGATGGCCTCTGACCCAGGGATGAAATGGGCTTGACCCCTGCCTGAGCCCAGGGCAGCAGCTGTGAGCAGGGAGGGGACTCTGGACCCTCAGCCTCCTGGGGCCAGGCCCAGTGCGAGACTGTCAAGAGCCCAGGCCTCAGGGGCCTAGAGATGGGGCTCGTGGTCCCTGGGGATGGGGTGGAGGGGCAATGACTCTCCTGCCCAGATACCCTGTTAAGGGAAAGCAAGGGGACAGCAAGAAGGTGCCTTCTCGCCACGTGCCCGAAGACAGACACACAGACATGGGATCAGAGCAGACACACACATACCCTGCCATCTCGACAGGGCAGGGTCACACGGACTCAGATGGAGCCGCAGATGTGGGGACAGACACCCAGGGGGACAGACAGATGCTTTCGAATGACTATATGCTGACACTCGAAAGTTCAACCACTCCAACACGCAGGCCCTGCGTCTTTTGGCAAAGCAGTGTCACCACACGCGGACACACACACACACACACACACACACACACACACATACACACACACACACACACACACGTTTGACCCAAGTAGGTTCTGTTCTGCATTTGGGGTGACGACCAGTCTCCTTGGAGGTGGCTCCTGGCCTGACCAGCTCTCCTGGTGGGGGGCCAGGGCCTGTCCCAGGCCTGTGGGGAACCGCCACAGTGGGGTCCAGTCCGACCAGACCCGGAGGTCCTGGGTGCTGGTGCAGACCACAGGCTGGTCAGGGTCAGAGAAAGGTGCCCGGAAGGGAGCGGGCTGGCGGGCGGCGTCCAGGCCCGGGATGTGGTCAGGCCGCAGGCAGCTGCTTCCCAAAACCAGAATAGCCCAGGACTTACACAACCCGCACCCCGAACAATCCAGCTGCCGCTTCCCCCAGCACTCACAGGCTTCCCAGCCCCCTCTTACCTAGCCCCCCTCTGAGCCCACCCTTGAGCCCCTCTCACTCCATTAGACCCTTCGCCCACTGCTAGGTGCTACTGGTCACCCCCCCGTTGATCTCCCAACCACCCTAACTCATCCCAGACCCACTGACCTCCTGACTCCGCTCACCATTCCCTCACCCCTTGAACTTCTGCCACCCTGGGGCTCCTCCTGTCCCAGACCACCTCCCCTCACACCCCACCCCTTACCCACCCTGACAGTCTCTGTGTCCCCCTTTCTGTGCCTCCAGCA